CAGGGGTGTCCAAGAGGATGGTGAGGACTAGGTGCGTGTGTGTGTGTGTGTGTGTGTGTGTGTGTGTGTGTGTGTCTGTATCTGTGTCTGTGTCTGTGTCTGTGTCTGTGTGTCTGTGTGTCTGGACATCATGGCTGGCGCCAGAATATCTCCCAGATGTCGTGGCTCCTTCTCTTGATTTCAACACGTCCACTGGCCCCTCTCGTCCGCCCGCGCACGTCTCGGGCTCCGATGCGCACTGGGTGGCGTGGGGGACCCCCTGCGAGCACCTATGAGACCTCCCCCCTGCGGGTTCCATCGGCGCTGGGGTGCTGGATCCCCCTGCAGGGGCCCGTTTGGCTGTAGACATCCTTCCACTGCTGAGACCCCTGCTGGTGTCTCAGAATCAGACCTGCAGCGGCTGGCTCACCGCGCTGCCCGGCTGCCTCGAAGCCGCACCGAGGGCGTGGGGGGGGGCTCCACTTGCTCCTGTTTCGGGGGCCCTCAAACAGTACGGTGACCACACCGTGTGGTGAGTGAGTGTAGATTCGGGGTGACCGCACGTCGGTCTTGGGACGTGGGTCGTTCTCCAAGGACGCCTCGGACGACATGCGGCGATGGACCCTGCGACCACTTGCGAACCCTACCCCTGCGGGTTCAATCGACGCCCTCGTTCTTTTCTTCTCCCGACCGCTTTGCAGAAGGGAGGAGAGCAAGCAGAGGGAGAGGGCAGGGAGGGGAAGGACGGCAGACACCTGCATCCCTGCTCGATCCCTGCTCCTGCGCCTGGCTCCTCGGGCTCGCTGCTGGCCGGCTCCACCTCCTCTCGGCTACCAGGGGGCGCCGACGGGGGGGGGGGGGGCTGGCCCAGGCAGGGGCAGCAGCGGCCCTCCTCGGCTCCTCGCCCGTCCCTCGCCACTCGGGGCCTGGGTGCGCCCCACCTCGCCCAGGAACGTGAGCGCCGTCGCCATCGGCGCCGTGCCACCAACTCCGCCTCAGCGTTTGCCTCCTGGGCCCTTCCTCGGCGAAGGAAACAAACGGTATAGACATAAACTTTTGGCGCTCCGCGCGGGTTTCTTGGATCCCCCCCGGCGGCGCCTCCGGCGCCGCCCCTGGCGCGCGCCGCGCTCCAGGGGGGGGGGCCCCAGCGCAGATCCAAGAGATCCGCGCGTTGCGCCACAGGTTGAATGCTCATGCCGTTTCCTTTTTTTCTGCTCTCGTCGGTGCCGTGCCACCGGCTCCGCGTCAACGCCTGCCTCACGAGCCCTTCCCCTTAGCTTCAAGTCGGGACTGTCCCTCTGCAGGAGGGACATTCAAAAATAGTGGAAAAATTGTCAGGGGACGATTTTTGGACTATTTTTGAATATTTTGGGGGTAGTTTTGGAGTGCTTTTCGTTCTTCGCCCAAACTCCCCCGGTAGGGGGACAGGCCCGACCTGACCTTAGCCTCTCGCTCCCCCCTGCGGGCTGCGCTCGGCGGCGCGCGCCATGGGGCGGGGGGGCCTCCCGAGGAGGCGGGGGGGGCTTCTTCCAGAGAGGCGGGGGGCCTCCCGAGGGCTCCTCCTCGCTCCCTCCTCCTCCTCCTCCTCCTCCTCCCTCCTCCTCCCTCCTCCTCCCTCCTCCTCTCTCCTCCTCCCTCCTCCTCCCTCCTCCTCCTCCTCCTCCCTCCTCCTCCTCCTCAGGTGAGCGCGGCGCCTGGGCCGTGCCCCCCCCGGCCTGCGGGGGGGGGGCACCCACAAGCCAGGGGGGCTTCCTTCCCGAAAGGGCTCTTGCAGGAAGCCCCCCCATGCAGTCTGAGTTTCGCCACCCGCCTCGCTGGAGCGCCCCCGCTGTTCTCGACTGCGCGCGAGAGCGACCCCTGGGGAGTCCAGTGAGTCCAGGGGGTCCAGGGGCTCCACGGAGTCCAGGGAGCCTTGGGGGCCCGGGCAGTCCAGGCAGTCCAGGCAGTCCAGGCAGCCCAGGCAGCCAGGGAGTCATCGGCGTCCGGGGTGTCCGGGGATGCGGCTCCATTTGGATCCCGATTGTCCCAACGCCCTCGCATCGCCGATGCATCGGCGATGCGTCGGCGTGCCGCGCGGTCCTCCGACCGCATCTGCTCGGACCCCATGTGGGCGGCCTCTAGGGAGCCAAGCTTGACGATGGAAGCACGTCGATGCAGCTTTCGCGTCGGTATCGGGCTGACGCTTCGCCCCCTGCGGGGCTCTTCTGAGCCAGCTGACGACGACGACGACGACGACGACGACGACGACGACGACGACGACGACGACGACGACGACGACGACGACGACGACGACGACGACGACGACGACGACGACGACGACGACGACGGCGACGACGACGACGACGACGACGACGACGACGGACGACGACGACGACGACGACGACGACGACGACGACGACGACGACGACGACGCGACGACGACGACGACGACGACGACGCGACGACGACCGACGAGACGACACGACGACGACGACGACGACGACGACGACGACGGACGACGGACGACGTACGACGACGACGACGACGACGACGCGACGACGACGACGACGACGACGACGACGAGCGACGACGCCGACGACGACGACGACGACGACTGGGACGACGACGGACGACGACCGACGACGACGACGACGACGACGACCGACGACGACGGCCGACGACGACGGACGACGCGACGACGAAGACGAGCGACGACGACGAGACGACGACGACGACGACGCCGACGAGACGACGACGACGACGATACGCGACGACCGACGACGACGGACGACGCGGACGACGGTCGACGACCGACGACGGACGACGACGACGACGAGACGACGACGAGACGACGACCGGGACGACGACGAACGACGGACGACGACGACGACCGACGACGACGACGACGACGACGACGCGACGACGACGACGCCGACGACGGACGACGACGACGACGCGACGACGACGACGAGGACGACGACGACGACGACGACGCCGACGACGCGACGACGCGACGACCGACGACGGACGAGACGACGACGACGACGACGACGAGCGACGACGACGACGGACGACCGCTCGACGAGCCGACGACGACGACGCCGAGACGACGACCAGACGACGACACGGACGACGACGACGAGCCGCGACGACCGACGAACTGACGACGACGACGACGACCCGCGACGACGACGACGACGACGGTCGACGACGATCGACGACGCGGACGACGGACGATCGTACGACGACGACGCGACGACCGCCGTACGACGACGACGACGACGACGATGACGACGACGACGACGACGACGACGACGACGACGACGACGACGACGACGACGACGACGACGACGACGACGACGACGAACGAAGTGAACCCCACCCTCCCCCTCAGAAATCGTGGGGGGTAGGGGTAGGGTTCGCATTTGGCCCCCTAAGCCCGAGCAATTTTTTGACGGTCCTGGGTTCGAGGGCCCGGTGAGGGCCAGAGGAGGCCAAGCGCGTTGGAACTCACGATGCCGTGTTTCTTGTTGGGTTAGGCGCAGTGTGTCACAGCGCAGTGCCCGCCACACGCACTCGTAGTGTGTGTTTGTGTGTGTGTTGTAGACGCCCACGCGTTTCGCTGCTTGCGCTCGACTTTCTACGCCCCGTTGTCGCGCGCGGGGCCGCGACGCCGAAGAAGTGTGTGTGTGTGTGTGTGTGCGTGTGTGTGTGTGTGTGTGTGTGTGTGTGTGTGTGTGCGTGTGCTTACATCTGCATGTGTGTGTGTATTTGTGTGCGGCCCCAGAGGCGACAAGCGGGCCCCAAGACTGATTGAATAGGGCTCGAAGAGCTCAGGATAGCCCATGACGGCGTTCCCGAGATGGCCTCAGGGGGTCCCTCCAGGGATGCTTGTTTTGGCTGTTCATTGTCTTCGAGTCTAGAGATCTCACGATGGAATCGTCCTGGGGTCAGGCTGGGGACTGCCTCCAGGTCCCTCAGAGGCTCCAAGAGCGTACCGAGAGACCTCACGAGGTAGTCTTAGAGACACCGAAGACGGTCTCAAGAGGACCCCAGGAGAAAGAGTACAAGAGGTTGCTCACAGGGCCTGACGACGCCATAACGGACATTTTCAAAGTGCTCAAGAACCCAAGGCAGCTTCAAATGGCTACTATGGAACCATCT